CTAAGAATTGATTTTGAATAGTGATATGATGGGAAATGTGTGGTTGAAAAAGAAGATAAGATTATTGATGTGATAGAAAATATTATTTTATTGAAGAATGTGTGGTTGAAAATGAAAATTGATTTACTGTTGAAAATGAGAATTTTTACCAAACATAGCCTTAAATCACACTATGGTAAAATCAAATGGACATGCTGAAGAAATGAAATTGTGATAGATTGAAAATTCAAGACGATAACACTTGATTACAATGAAATAGCCCGGACTAACCAAACATTAAAATCTGCAATATATCTATTCAATCAGATCCAGCAACTTTTAAACTAAAGAAATTCCAGAACCAAGTAGTGAACAAAAACACTTAATTACAACATGGAAGCGCGGAGCAATGCAGACAGATTGAACAGAATTAAATACCCCCGATAGCCACTTCATATGAGATCTATTCAGATGAAAAATCGAAAACACAGATCTACAAGTACCCTCAGCACGTGCGTTGGATCTACCATTTAAAGTTGATCCACAGTCATATGAGATCTATTCAGATGAAAGATCCTAAACACAGATCTACAAGTTCCCCCAGTACGTGCGTTGGATCTACCATTTAAAGTTTATCCACAGAACGTATGCACCAAAATTACATGCACCCACCTCCCCCAAAATATACTAACATAACAAACCATGTAGTACAAGAACATAATTGTACATTACTGCACTGAAATGGACATGGAACAACAGAAAAACACTAGATCACGTCATATTGTCAAGTAGAAATTCTTACAATTAGATCTAAGCAATATGAAACAAAAATTTCAAAAGGGCAGTCCAAGAACTACAGATTAACAAACTTCAAAAGAATAAACTAACATAATGGGATCCAAATGAGTGGAGACTGAAGAACGTGAGAAAATACGAGGGGACGGGAACCCGTACCTTTAGGGTGTGTGCGGTGGTCACAGATGGAGATTCTGTTAGTGAGATAGAGAGAAATGGGCTGACGCGAGTTTGGAGAAAGGATGAATGTGCTTATTTATAGAGAATTATAGAGAAGAAAGGTGGGTGTCGTGGTAGATCTGAGAGAGTTGAATTTTGTGCATTTTGCTGATTCAAGTGAAATTGTAAGAGGTAGAGATGACGGTTACGCGCTTCCCGAGGCGCGTGTAGTTAACGGAGAAGTTGGTGTGCTCACCAACCCCGTGAAAGTGGGAAATCCTTGTGAGGAGTTTTATGATTTTGTGGGGGTGTTTTTTTTAATTTGGAAATTGAAATCAATTCTCATTTTCAATCATACATTTTTCAATAAAATAATATTTTTCATCATATTAATAAATTTTTTTCTTTTTCAATCACACATTTTAGTACATCTTCTCATTTTCTACAGTAAATCAATTCTCATTTTCAACCACACATTCTTCAATAAAATAATATTTTCCATTACATCAATACTTTTTTCTTCTTTTTCAACCACACATTTCCCATCATATTACTATTCAAAAATTAATTCTTCCCCCAAAAATTCCTACCAAACAAACTCTATATCATTTAGCTAAAATAACTCCTTTTTGTTTTTTTTTTTTTTGTATTTTTGTCTTCAATTTCATTAATTAGTACATATAATTTTTCATTAAAGCCAAGTGTTTATTTGCATTTTTATATTTATTTTTTCGATTTTTAATGATATGAAAAATGCATACATTTTCTTACGTCCTCTTAATAGAATTTTTGGAAGAAACCGTATCAAGTTACATTTTTGTTATATTTAATTATTTTTCAAACAATATGATGAGAAAATAACTTGCTTACGCACTCTTAGCGAACTTTTTGGACTGAAATCATTATTAGAGACATGATCTGCTCATTATTAGAATGTTGATTAAAATGCAACGAAAGAAGTTAACATAAATAATACAATAAGTAAATATTAAAACCTTTAAGATTGTATTTGACTGACTTTATTTTTCATGTGAAAAGTCATTTTTTCCAAATTTTTACTTTTGAGGTATTTAATTGACAATTTTTTTCTTAAAAAATATTTTTCAAATTTTGATCATCTGACCATATTTTCCTCAAAAATAAAAATATATATATATCTTCTTTAGGGAGATATTTTATTTTCCATATAATTCACTTTTTTTTTCTCTTTCATCTACCAATTAATAAAAAATGGACAAGTATAATTATTTTTAAGTCGAAAATTAAATCAATCAAATATATTTAATTAATAATTTTCATATAAATAAGTTTTAAGCAATTAAATTGCTTAGAATTTATTTTCTCTGTATGAAAATTATTAATAGAATATGAAGCAACAAATAAAAATAATGGGTAAAGTGCGTTTCACCGGCCGTGGTTGGTGGGGGCAATTCTGACAAAAAAGTACAATTCATGGTGGCAAAAGCCAAGAATTGGTGGTTGGTACGGCGGCGATTGGTAGCCACCACGCCTCTTTGCAACCTTGGTCTACTAGATTTCCAAAATTACCCTTTCAAATGACTGCAGTCCCCACAGATAAATTAGGTAAGTGGGACCATTTTAAATATTTTCGTACGTGCCGATGATATTGGCCACTGCTCATTACCCCAAAAATTGATTTGTCTCCTGTCTTTATTAATAGCCACACAAGTCAGAATGAACAAAAAAATAAAATAATAATAATAATATACACACGCAGTACGCATGTTGAGATTATAGAAATTGGCACTAATGTTAAATCGCATGAAACGAAGATCGAGTTAACTTCGTGACTTTGCAGGCAAGCTCGCCATGTAACATTTTTACGTACACCCATAAAATTTTCGTCAATTACAAGTTGGACTCAAATACAAAATATGCAAAAATTATGTTGTGGCCCCGACCCGACCAGAACCGAACCCACCCCGTCGTCATGCCATGCACTGCCCCGTTGTCATCTCTAGCTGAAATTAAGATAGTCAATTTGAAATTGAACAGATTATTTGTGGACTATTTTAAAATTTTTGAATTGAATTTTTCATGACATGAGCTAGGGGTTAAAAAATTGAAGTTCCTCATTTATTTACTGGATTTGGATTCGAACTAGATTGGATTGAACTATGCCCAAGTTCAATTTCTGTTGTTGAAAAGTTGTGGATTTTATGAAATATATGGTAAAAATTAATTATTTATTTTGACTTATATTTTAATTAATTTTTTTTATCCGAATCAAATAATGGCATAAATGTCAATGTACTAAAAGTCAACCATTTCCTCAATTTTCAAGTCAAATTTTGCAAATACATTGAATCTTGGTCAAATAACTATGTAACTCTTCAATTATCACAAAAATACCATTAGAATCTCACCATCTAAGATCATGCTTTATAAGCAATCAATAAAAGATACTATTGAATTGTGGTTGGGTGGGTGGGTAGGTTTACAATCAATTATTGAAAGCCACAGCCTCCTACTTCCAATATCTCTTGAGAGATGATCATATAAACTTGGAAATACAATAATTTATAGAATAATATAATCCAAACAGCTGAGGTATGATGGGGATGGTATTTAAATTTAAGCAAAGATGCAATGAAGGTTTTTTTTCTCATAGGTCAAATGAGTTGGTAAAGCTCAATTATAGGAAGAAAGTAGTTGTAGAAGAATAATTTGTTTTTGTATGTAAAAAAATACTCTCATAGTTGAAATTTAGGAGCCAATAAGGTTGTAGGGTTGAAGAAGGGAGCATCTTTTAAAATGTACAAGAGAAAGTCAAACATTTCCGACAAAACATGTACATCTAACCATTTAGGGTGTTTGTCCCTACACTTATGAGTTGTTCGACAAAGTTTTTGATAAAAGTTCTTAGCAGATTTCGATAAAAATTAATGTAATGTGTGGTTGAAAGATGATAAAAAGATATGAATCTCATGAAATGTGTAGTTCAAAATTAAAGTTCGACATATTAAATAAGGGGCAACCACCAGAAGCACTTCGATGCTTTCGACTATGTGGCAGGTTAATTGTATAAAATTGTATTGGCGGTCACTAAATTTTCACGACAAATGTCATTAGGTCATTGAACTTCCATTTACAGCAATCAGGTCACAATTGGATCACTTGATTCAATTGCAATCGAGTCACTTAACTTCATAATGATATACAACAGTTATTTTGAGATAATTCTCCATTCTTCAATCCCTTTCAAATGAATGGTCGACTGATTTAGAGTGAAAGTGTAAAAAAACAAAAAAAACTTGCCATTAAATATATTTTTTATCAAGTGTTTTAACTTACGGTTTTCATAAGTTTCATTACTCTATGCGGTGGATATGGCGAGTAAGTCCACTCGAATGTTCATGTCCTCGTACGTTAGTTTAACGACTGATTAAACATATATATATTACATGGATTTAAGGAATCCAAACACAATGATTTAATAGCAATTATATTGAAGTTAAATGACTCGATTAGTACAATTGAAGTTCAATGACCTTGATGTTGTTGCTTGGCTATTTGGCATATTTAATAAATTATACTTAGATAAAACACGATAAAATTTGTCTATTTTTCTACCTAGTTATGTACAATTTAGCGAATTTCATCAAACACAAAATCGCCGTGAGACTCTTGACGACTAAAGTCTTTTCTCAAAAGACAAAAGTTCATTAATAAGGCTAAATTGAAACTTAGGTAGCTTGTTGCCACTTTGCATTGGTACATTCGTCCTTCTAGACATTTTCATTGGCACGTTCAAACAAATAAAAGGAATACATGCCTCTTCACACAGTACCATAAAGACAACTTTTATCTCCCATTTTTTAAAACTCATTTTCAATTACACATTTCACGGGACCCACGACTTTTATCAATTTTTCAATTACACATTTCATCAACTTTTATCAAAATTCCTAAAATCT